TTTGAAAGTACGAGTCTGAACTGCTCAGTTTTACAGATTCCTAAGGAAATGTGCAGTTATATAGACAACTATATGACTGCCATTAGCTCTACTTATGCAGATTAAAGACATAGTTTACTAAGTATCTATTCACTATCTGTTAGCATCTAGATTGATTACATTTATTGGCTCTTAGCACCTGAGTAATACAAAGCAATGTTTATTGTCTCAAGTTCTGGAAGTATCTTCAGTTATGGACTGGCATTTACATAAAACATTTAAAAATAAAGCATCCATTCTATATTTTATATATTTTCCATCAAACTCAAGAAAAAATGTAGACAGTGGCAAGAAAGACAGAAGTACTTTTCAGCATGTCATTATAGGATCATAAATCGAAAGTGAGGTCTGTATGTCATCAATTCACTCCATTCTTCTAAACAATTACAACTTAGACTTGGCTTTCACCCGTTGTATTAGACTTGCAATAGATCATTCCACAACCATTCACACTAATTTAAAAAGGGCTAAACAAGATAAGGTTAAACAATGCCAGCATCTGTACCCCACCCTGCTGTCCTCCTGTCATTCTAAGCCTGTTCATAGGCTTCAATTATCACATTTCAGTATGGCTTCAGCTGCTGTCCACTGCTCATCACCTTCTAACAGGACGCACAGTGACATCTACTGGGTTAAATTCAGACTGGTGATCACCAGGGCTCCTCAGAAATGAGAAGAAGAAAATCTGTGGGCTTTTGACCTTCATTCCTAAGAGCACAGAAAGTAATGAAATGAAACTACACCAAAAGTAAGAGCAACTTCTGCTTAAAGAGATTATTTACACCCAAACCTTCTTAAGTAACTCGTAAATTGTTGATCAAACCTAGCACTAGGTATTCTAATGTCAGGCTGTGGGTGGAAGGCTTCAGCATGCCTAATGTACATCTAGTTGAAGAATAAACATTGATAATTAACAAAAAAAATTAAAAATAATTATTGTAAACAACACAGAATCAACCTTCCATTCTCTTTGTAAAAGGAGGATATTATTGCAAAGATCTTAATTTATTTTCACTTCTTAAATGCCGATTCAGTGAAAACACAGTCTGAATCGGTTAAGCTAATGAAGAGCCATTGAAACTCACTTAAAATCTACTATAAGTAACATATAGCTAATTAACTTAGAACTGTGGTAATAATACTGCAGCAAATGAATTTTTTAAATGCGTGTGTGTATGCGTAGATTTCTATGAACACGTATCTGAAACTTACAATTAGGTCTTTTCCCTGGTAAAGCAATGAATATTTTGGGAAGGAATTTCTGCAGAGAAACCCCTTAAATGTTCTGTCCATCTACTGATTTAATTATTAAGGAATACTCTTGTGCAAGTTTACTCAGACATACCATACCATACCATACCATACCATTCATACATTAGCTTATTACAAGTTTAAAGTTTTGAACTGTTTTAATTTGGTCACAAATTCTTGTTGTTTTTAAGACTGGATAGCAAAATGTTGTGAGAGCAGGGCCAAAGAGGATATCCCCAGTTGCAGTCTGTCACACTAAACAGTTCACCTCCTCTGACAATTTAATTCAGATATTAACATTCCTCACATTGTAACCCTGTATTTTGGTGACAAGAACATTCCACAGAGCAGAAGATGAAAGATAAATGGATGAGGGAATAGTTTCGAATACAAAAACCCAGGCCAGAAAGTATTTACTAATACCCAAATGATGACAAGTCCAAATACAAAGAATGCTGTGTTAAAAGCTGTGATCACATACAGTCTCAGACAGCTAGAGAGCATATTTCTTTTTTCCCGAGACACCACAGCACAACAAAATTTCAGCTTCTCAGATTACTGAAAAAACACTCTGTGTGTGTGTCTGCCTGTGCTCAGGATTGTGCACGAGTTTTCACTCCAGGTTAAGTTTGCATCCATTTAATCTGTACTGCTGTTGATCACAGCTGGCTTCTCATATGAATCCAAAAAACTGTATTCCAAAATAATTGTGATTCCCCAGTCTTTAAAAAAACCTACAAAAGACTGGAACCAGCAAATTCCTTCATAAATAAAAGGTTGGTGGCTTTCTTAAATTTATTTCTTTAATTTCTTTCTTAATTTCTTAAAATTCTCTAATTCAAAGTGGAATTCTAGTGGAAGACATACAGCTTAGTTATTTTAAGCAAAACTGCAGACATTTCTATTACCATAAGAATAATCAGTATTCCAAATGTTCAGATAATGAATTAGCTGGAGACAGACAGATAAGACAGACAGACATGCTACAGGTCAGGAAACAGGCCAATTTCACACAGTCTTCAGGTAGAAGTTTTTTTTCTGAGGTCATAATTATTTCTTATCAGATTTTTCTGCACCTTCCTCTATTGCTTCTCACGTTGCCTTCCAGCTGAGGAAAGTGATGGGAGTAGACAGACCACTCTCTAAGAGACAGAACATTTTTAACAACTAAAACCCCAAAATTCCCGCATTTAAAGATGTTGGTTTTTAAAACATCTGAAGGGTTTGTGGCACAACTGTGCCAGCAATGCAGGCCAGAGGGAGGAGGGTGGAAGGGCCAAAGATGTAACACTGTAAGTGCAGCTCAGTAGCCCCGGCCCATGACACTGTCCTTTGTGGGTGACGTGCTGCTGGCCAGGGCTGTCCCTGGAGCCCAGACCTGGCACGAGAGGTGCTGGCCCCAGTGTCAGCTCTGCTGTGCTGCCCCAGGGAAAGGGCAGCCAAAGAGGTGGCTGAAGCTGATTCAAATGCTGCCTAAAATTAGCATGTTCAGGATTTCAGAGAGGGCAACTGAACCACACTTAAACACGTATGCAAATATATAACACTTTCTTTCCCCTCCTGATTCTGCCTTAAAAATAGGCTGACAAGAAAGATTCTGAATTCTCATGAGAAAAACTTTCATGGCTGGCCAGGTGAGCAGATGGATGAAATCACATTTTTTAAGTGTAGGGTTGCTCACTGAATTTCCGTGGATAATTGCAAATGTCCTGTGCTCTGCAGCAACTGGAGAGGCCGGACTGGTTTGGCTGCAGCAAATACATCTTTATCAGGGGTTTAATTACCCTGATTCTTGGATAGGTCTCTAGTGCTGAACTTTGTGCTTCACTGCTGGTTTTGCTATGGGTACCTGAGCCAGATCCTTTGGAAAAGGCAGGGTTTTATCACCAAGTTGTTTTTTTGGTTTGGGGCTCCAATTAAAGAAAGAAGTGCTACGTCCTTTATTTTTGGGGGGCAGGGGGGAAAGGCATTGTAGCCATATAATTAAATTAAAGAATTAGTGAAGAATTTCAAGGATTATGTAGCAAATCCTGCAGATTGTCTGTGCTTTATTTTCCAAAATAGAATATTTCATTTATTAAGTAGTTACTGTGCGGAGCAAAGAACATATTTCAGGGAATATATAATATATTTATACTATGGTCAAACAGGCCTGTACATGATATGTAAAAAGGGAAAGCCTCTCTCTTTCTTGATCAAATAGTCTTGAAGTCAAAGGAAAGCATTCTTTCAACAAATGTTTGAAGTGGCTTCCTTCAACCCCGTGTTACTGAAAATTCCTTATTACCTGAAACATTTCCCATTGCATTATAACCACAAATACAACTTTTAATGCATGCAATTGGGAATATCAATTTATCAATCAACAAAATGTTTTCAGTCCCTAGTAAATGGAAGTATCTCTTCACCTGTAGTTTATGAAACTCACAAAAATGTCAAATGCTACAGAACATTGCTTTAAAAAGTGACAAATTTTCTGTCATGTGAAGACTGAAAATATTAATAAAAATTGTTCCTCCATAAGAAAAAGACAGTAATTTTCTGTGTTATTTATTTGGTACCACAAATTGTGAAGGGAGACATATTTTTTGCTTATGAAAAAGGAGTATACTGAAGAAGGCCAAAAAATGCAGGTTTCTTTCTACCTAGTGCACTACTGAATCACAGCAGCTGAATCATATTTCCTGCCTTATTTAGAATTAGATTCAAGATGATTCGCTTATTCTGCCAGTGGTTGTCATATGGGAGCAAGTGCTTTCATCTTTCTCTCCCCTTACAGTTTAAATAAAGACCCCTACTGCTTTCCTTTCTCCAAGCCTCATCCACAATCTAATAAACCATTCCACTGGAGGGAGAAAAATACACCAAGGCAAGGCAACACAACATCTCCCCACAGAGGAATGTGAGGAAGGGAAAAATGCCATCACTGCACTGAGACATGCTGAGATCCCAAACAGTCCAAATGCACAATCCTGTTCTCCATCTCACTGGCTCTGGTGCTGAGCAAGGCTCTCATGAACCTGGTTTGGCCCTCTTTGACTGTCCTTGATCTCATCTCCTCTTCAGGAGAATCTTCTTGGGATGTGGGAAGTGCAGAATTCCAGTTTTTAGCAAATACATTCATTCTGAAAATATTCTCATCACTAATGAAGTAGAACAGGTCAAGATGAGTAATGTTTTTAATTTCTCTATGTTCTCTGTCTGTAGATTTATCCCAGTTATTTGTGAAGGAGGACAGAATTCTATGCTGGAAGATGATTAACCTCCTTGCACAGCACTCAGCAAAATATTTGTGATTTGTGTGGCATGTTAGATTTAATTTCTATGAAATATGCATCCCAAAACTTGGACCATTACATGCACAACTATTTTCAAAGAAGCACTACACTTGACTGCATTTTTTCTAGGCAAACAGCTGTTTTTCTGGTATTTTCAATCTTGTCATATTTATCTGTGAAAGTGATAAAGTTAAACTGCATAACACTTTGTGAAAAATTCAGCAGCAATTTATCCTTAGCATATGCTTGTCATTTCTTTTAGTGAAAGTTTTTCCAGTGTTTCTGGCTCCCTTGGACTAGCTCTTAAGATTTTTATCTCTATATCTTTTCCCTGTACAAGAATTAAAAAGCTTTGGAAAAGAAAGGATAAGAAGCTGAGATGACAAAATAGATACAATAATTCAGAAAAGAAAGAAGACTTTAATTTCTTACCAAATTCTTCTTCTCCATCCTGGTCATCTATTAAGCCTACTGAGACTCCCAAATCCATGCATTTTTTGCTATGTGCCTTTGACTTCATATGCTTTGTTAAATTTCCTTGAGAAAAAAAAAATAAAAATTACCTGCTCTGTGAGTACACAAACGTCTAAAAATATATGCTCAACATGTCCATCTCTTCTCCAGGTACATTTATACCAACTGTATAATTTGATTTCACACTTGCTAGAACCTTGTCTCTCAATGCAAGCTGTCAAAGGCTGAAGCAGATTCTCCATCCTGCATGCTACCAGCTCGCTGTCTACATTTCAGGAAGTTTTATATTGCAATAAAATAGAAGAGGATGGAAATTCTACATGATGATGTATTTTGTACTGGTGTAAGAGATTCCTCCTTTGTTTATGGCAAAGTATAAAAAGGGGTGATTCAGTCTTTAAAGTCATGTTGACAGAAAACTATTACACGAAACTGAAGTTCGTATCTTGCAGCTCTTCCAGTATTTGATGAATTCTATTTTTAGTATCAACATTTTCAATGCCAACTTAAGCAAACATGTTAATTTTATTCAAAATCAGAGCATGAAGATACTTGATCTGATTCTCAAAAGTGAATGTGTAGTTGAGAGGCCCCACAGGCTGCTCTCCCCTTCTGCTTTAAAAAAAATGGCAAATATCATCAAGAAATGGCTAAGAGCGGCTCAGATCTGTAAATGATGATATTTATGAAATGCATGTTACTACAAGTAACTGCCCACCTTAAACTTCACAAAAACTGTTTCTTTGAGGTATTTAAACAGGAAAAATTAAAATGTATCACTGACTCTTATATGGTTATGGAGTAACTTATTTCTGCTTTGAAATGAATGTGATAACTCATTCCAAATACTGAAATAATTGTTGCAAATATATTGACTCACAAATCGCAAATTTTCCAGTTTTTGCACATTTCAAGAAGCTGCTGGCTACACTGTCCTGTCATGAAGAGAGGCTTACCAAACATCAAACACCCAACTGTGTGACCTGACTGCCAGCAGTAATGGGAAGAGCCAGGCACAGCAAATGCAGAAGAGAATGTGAATACAACAAGTATGGTACAACTGAAACTAGGGAGAACTTCACATGGGCAGAACTTAATTGCTTGAACTTGGCAAGCACCCCTCCTCTGCAAACACCATAATGAGAATTTACTGGGCTTGCACTCCAGCATTTCATCATAAAGGCAATATGATGACCCAGCCTGTCAGGATGCAGTGATGAGTTTTGACACATCTGAAACCTATTCATCCTACACCGTACTGGGTTATTTCTTGGAAGTCTTCCACCCAACCACTGAGTAGTCTCAAAAGCACTAAAAACACAAATGTTCCTGAGGTTACAGCTGGGGGGGGTGGATTGCTGCTAAATGATGTTCAAAGCCAAGAAAATTTTACTGCTTCGAATTTTTTTTTCTGAAATTATTTTGGCTTTGAATTTCTCCTGTCTATTTCATTTGAGTCCTGGATGTACCACTGTTTAATATGCTGCCTGCATAAACTGGGATGCATTTAAGTATCTAAAGGTATAAACAGGCTTTAAAAAGTAGATGTCCAATTAGAAGTTCAAGTGGAAAGCGAACCTTTGTCCTTCAAGGGTAAAAAAAATATATCATTTCAATATAATAATTTATTAGAGGCCAATTTCTTTCCTAGAGCAATTGGTTGAGTGCCCATAGGAGTGCAATATACATCCATCTCCTACCGCCAAAAGACACTGTAAAGGACTTAAAATTCTGTGTCCCATCTCTAGGATGAGCACCATCTCACTTGTCCTCACCTAACTTCATCATACTCCCATTATTTCCCTCTTCCACTCCACTTTTTCACCCACTGTGGCATGCCAGACAGCTCATTCATGTGAAGATGTGATCATATGAATAAATATACAGAAGACAAAGGAAAGGCAGGAGCTCAGAAATTACAATTATTTGAAGCATTAGACAATAAAACTCCACAGAGAGGGAAGCTCTTTAGCTCATGAGCAGCCAATTATAAGAAGAAAAGAATTCTACTTTAAAGTAAAAAGTGGGAAAACCAAACCCAGTAAAGAAGCCTTACCTTTAGTTTTGAAGGAAAAGTTGCAGTAATTGCAGTGGTAAGGACGGACGTCGGTGTGTGTGCGAATGTGCTTCTTCAGCATGCTGGGCTTCTTGCAACGTATTCCACATTCCTCACAGATATACTTCCCTCTCCCTCTCCCTCTCACATACACATAGTCTTCATTTGACTTGTACCTAATAACAGTACCATAAGAGCAAGGCGAAAAGTTGTAATGGGAAAATGAGTCCAGCTAGAAACCCTCATCTACCAGAGTTTTTAAAATAACACATTAGATGAAAATCAATTACTAACAAAACCAATCACGCTCTTTTTCTGCTCACTCTTACACGTATTTGTTAAATTAATATCTATATTTATCACTAGCTAGTCATAGACTTGTTTAGGAATAGCAGCTAATCTTTTTAATAAAGGTACTGTTGATACTAAGCATTTAAAGTTAAAAATTCAAATTTCCTCTTAGCAACACAGTAGCTTATCTTTTAAAGGTGTCAGTTCTTGGAAGCAGGTTTGAGCACCATGAGGGAGCTTTAAAAGTGCATCTTTGAGGCTCTGCCTTGTGCAGAAAAGGAATAACATTAGTTAAAGACTATGGGAAAGTCTTTAAAATTCCCTATCAATGTCCTCTGGACTCAGCCTACGGGGACTGTCTCTAAGACGGAAAAAGTAATTCGGATTCAACTAGGCCCTTCATATTTCCACTCAAGGATGCCAAATGTTGTCTTCAGCTTTTGTGACCTGGTCCTTGCAACGTCTGGATCTGAGCAGAGACAATATTTTACAGCAATATTTACCTGGGCAGTTGGTAATGATTTAACTGCTGGCCTAGACTAGATTCAAACTGGGACCCAGTAACTAAAGCCCTGCAGCTGACCATCAAGACTAATCAAATATGCACTATTTGTGCTACAAAATTTTACAGGTGTCACTGGCACTTTTCTATTTAAAAATCTGTTTTATAAGACGTTTTACATAGTGCAATACTGTGGCTAAAGCAACTGTTATTTATATCAGGCAACAGATTTAAAGTATTATGGTGCAGGGAGGAGAGCTCTCAGTAAATATTTCCATGGCACTTTTCAAATCAGAGCTCTCCAGCCTGTGTATGCCACAGCAAGCTGCCAGACAGAGATGGCACCGCAGGCTGCTACTTAGCCCCTGGACTATTTCCTCCCCAGCTACAGTTATACAACCTTGCTGCAGAATAGGTATTATTTATCACGTAAGAGAAACATAGGAACAGAATTTACATCTCTGGCTGTATCTAGCTGCCTTTAGTGCTGATTAATGCTCATTCCCTGGGAAAAAAAATGCATCACACTGCCTACTGTTCTTTATTTTACTATCCCTTCTCATAACTCTCATGGCTCCATGCTACTGATGACTTTCCATTTTTCTTGGAAACATAAACCAACATCCACAGAGTGCAATATGGCAACTGTTGTTTAAAATAAATCAATCAGGAAGCAACATCTCTATGAAGTCTAGAATCTAGGAAAAATATCTTCCCAATGATATCTAGTATACAAAGTACAATACTTGCCCTCCATCAAATATTTTAACTCTTCTTGGTACAGTTTTGATAAAGGAGTTTTCTTTATCGTGCTCAGTGCTTGATTCAGAGTTTTCCTTATTGCTGAATTCAGTTGGAGTCATTTTTTTCCTATTTAATGCCCTCTGAAAGAAAATGAGATACGCTTATCATTAAAATTAGTGTCTTTCATATGCTATTCAAATATTCAAGTTATGGTGAATAAAAGCATCATAAAAGCCACAATTCTAATAACCGTTTTTTAAAACTGTTAAAGAGACGTGAAGCAAAAAATATCTTTCACTAAACTTCTTCTCTACTATACATTGCCTGTTTGTGGACTGCTAAATCTATACAGAGATTATGGCCTTGTAGGAAACCAGGAATGCTTTGATTCTGAAGCAGGACATTATTTTTCCTTGTTCGGAGAAGATGAAGGTGATTCTTTTCAGCTCACAAATAACCTTCGAGAAAGATGTGTGCAGTCAAACCGAAGTGCTTCCTGAACAGCAGCAGCTGGACCAACCTGTCTGCTGAACCCAGGACACAGCAGTGCCTCATGGCCGGCAGGAGCTGCCTTCCCTTGGCACAGCAGAGAGGAGAAGGGTGGCAAGGAGGGGTGTACCTAGGGAGGTTATTAACAGGTAACATTTCTGAGTGCTAATACTTTTCAAGAACTACAGCTCTTTTGCTCTGGAGACTGACTGTTCCCGATTTGTGAGGTTATTAACAGGGTTTCCAGAACCCTTTCAAAGCAGGACTCCACACTGCCAGACCAAATTACAAGAAAAAGCATACAATTGTCTAGCAGAACAAGATTATATTTTTCATTTCCCCTGATTATTAGTCAAGGAATTTTTTTTGTTTGTTTTAAGGAGGATGAGTTCCCCCAGCATTTGCCAATTAAAATCTACTCCTTCCAACCCTAGGATATTTATAAAAGGGCAACAATGAAGGAATGATTCAATTAGCCAGCAATTATTACTGCTATATTTATAAACTGTTCTACCCACATAGCTGGCACATTTACCTCATTTGCTCATATTGATAAATGAATAAAATGATGAGACAAAAAAAAAGTCTGGCCTTATGTTTTTCACTCATTATAAAATTTAATGCTCTAAGCTTGTGAATTCTTGGCAAGAGGAATGACTTCACTGGCTGGCTTAAAATGGCTGATCAGTTATGCTGGTTGTTACATACATTCAAGGGTGACATAATTCTGGCACCTGGTCCTTGCCATTGTCCTTCATACAACCTCAGACACTGCCTTCACTTCTAATTCCCACATGATAAGGAATTAACACAGATCAGAGGAAAAGCATCTTCCTATTCAACTGAAAGCCCCAGGAAGCTGCACATGCACAAGCAGTGCCCCAATCCGTATGCCCTCATACAGCCCCCTGGAATGATTCAGGCTGCATTTTCAAACGTCTGAGCACCAAAGCACACATGACAACTCTGCCTGTGTGTAGGAAGAAAGAAATTTCACCCTGCGTGAACAGCACTCATATAATGTGAAAGGAGATGATGTTCTGGATGAGAAATATAAGAAGTGAAGCCTGCTCCAATAATTGCAACTCAGCCATTCTGCAGTTCCTATACACTACCTGGAACATGAACTGCTTTTGTTTCCACTGCAAACAAAGAGCAACAAGGTGACATTCGTAGCTTAACAGCAAGAGAGCTGTGGAAAATACAGAATATACACAATAAACCAAACATAAATATTCCCAAAAGCTGAAATAATGCAATCTTTAAGTGCCTGATCTTTCAATACTATATACCAATTACTTTTTCCAGATTTAATTTTATGTAGTGAAAAGACGAAGGAAAATGAAAGATTACAGAAGTCTTAAACCCATGTTGTTATCCAAACTATGATTAAACTGTTACAATAAGTTGTATATTCACAAAAGCACTCAGAATGCAAAACCAAATCATCAAATGAAATCATCATGAAACCAAATACCTCTGATGCTCCCATTGCCCATTTGTTTTTTTTAAACATGTGTCTATGTACAGATATAAGGCAGTCCAACTTGCGTATTAAAATTATTTACCTCCCCTGCTGTGCTTTAGTTTACTGGAAATTGTTTCAGTGTCTTGGACATGCAAAATGCTGATATCAAAGTAACAGAAATATTGAGTTTCTTGTCACAGAAATCTACAGAAATGTTCACTGACAATGAAAAAAGCAGTCTGTTCAGGTTTTTCTGAAAAATTTCAAATTGATGGTAAAAATGACTTGGCCCTGTGTACATTTTAGAGAGCAACCAGTCTCTAAGGAGCACAAGTTTCTTGTGTGGAAATCCTTAATGTACCTCACCTAAAATCCCCCCAAGCCCCATATGAACTGGTGGAAAGGGCAGAAAAAAATCAGTACTGTAAAATATTCCTCTCTCTGATTACTTCTGCTTTCTGTTTCTAACAGAGAAATTTGTCTCTCTACTCCCATAGAGACAAGGATCATGATTCATTTCTACTTTACCCATTTTGCTCCAATTTAACTCCACTGTCCTCAATTACTGGTATAAAACTGAAAAAAAAAAATTCTCTTAGGGCTGCCCAGAGACCACAGTTCAACAGATACTTCTGGTACTTTACAACATCCTTTGGAAAAAAAACATGCTTGCAGCCTGAATCATCAAAGTTATAAATTTCAGATTAGAATATTCATTAAACATTTTTCCCACTGGCACACAGCCACTTGGGGAAAATGTTTTAATATCTTTAACCTTTTGCTAGTTTACACATAAAAATCTGCATTTAACTACTTTCCAATGGTGAGCTGGACTGTTGTGGCATATCATCCAAGAAAGGAAAGCTTTCCACAGTTAGGAGAAACTTTCCATTCTTCAGCCTATCCTTGCTCAAAAATCATCACCCTGGAATATTGCACACACTACTGATTCACTTTAGTCAGAAGAGCCAAGATCAATGTGGAGGCTTGAGCAAGAACTCCTGACATAACACCAGTGAATTCAAGTGAGGAAAACTGGTGAAAAGTAGTAATAAGTGGAACAATAAAATAAAAAGAAGACGGAGATAAAATAAGCCTTTTCCATGCAGGTGAAATCTCCTGTTAAATTTTAACACGCTGCACTCATTCCAGAAGCTTCTTTCACAATAACATTTTGTGGTTTGTTTTCTGAATCACTGGAACGTGGCAACTTCATCTATTGCCTCTGAGCAGTGAATTGTGAAGAGCAAACAAAATCCCAGGGTTCCTTTTTGTTTGCATTTTGTTCACGTGTATCTTTCTTTCCCATGGTACCTATTGTTGAAAGAACTGCCTTTTTTTTGTGACAGTGATTAGTAGTGGTTATGCAGCAGCACGAGGTGTCTGTAAACATGGTTAAGTTCTGGGGGCAAACCCAGAACAGTTCAGCAAGCTTCTTCATCTTGGTGAGAAGATCAGCAGTTATAGCCCCACGAGCAGAATACACCAAATGAGTCTAGAAAGGGCTACAGCTGTAAGAGAGGAGGTGAGACATAACAGTACTGCATTTCTATTATTATCATTATTCATAAATTGGATTGTGGCAGCACTTAAAGCTCTCTGTCAGATCAGGGTTAAAATGTGCAAACCACTTGAGCAAACACAACCCCCAACACCTACAATCCAAACCATGGTTCCCCAAGGAACTCAGGACCCTGCCAAGCTTCTAAGCAGGAAATCAACAGCATTTTTAAAAAATAATTTGCTATTTTCTTTGTTAGCTTTGTTTGTGCTGTTTTGTTTTGTTTTGGTGTTTGTTTTTGTTGGTTTTTTAAAATGGAATATTAATTTCCGAAATTATCTCCAATGCTTTCCATCCTCAGACTCCAAACAAAAAAGCCCCCAGTGGAATTACTGGGCTTGAGCTGAGGAATTTCAGTTTTTGCTTTTTTAAAATGTGGCTTCAGTGAGGAAGTTTCCGAGTTGGCATCACCTATTCCATTACCAGGTCTAACTGGAGACTGGTAACACAGAGTTCTATTGTAATAGCAGCAGCAGCAGCAGCAGCATCATTCTGGAAAACAGCTGAAATCCTGCTGCCTAAATCATAAGAAGGGAAAGTAGACAAACTCTGGAAGTATTAGATAGAAAAACCTATCAGGTCTTTGAAATTTTTAACTTCTGCCATGGTACACCTTGCTCATACGATCTGAGGTGCCAATTAAACTTTAATTGGTGCTATTGCTACTTTTTTCCTTAGTAATGGCTCTGAGCAAAGCCTGTAAATCAGCCCCAGCAGAGCTTAAAAACTCTTAATTTCCATCATGCTCGTGTGCTTCATTGAAAACGTCAGCAAGAAAAACTGAAGAAAGATTAGTAAATGTGTTTCTTTTGTGGCAGAAGCACTGTAAATGTACCTGACAGCTGCCTATTACAGCATTTAAGCACTCCCGGAGTGTTTTAAAACGGTGCTGTCAAAATATTTTTTCAAAATATTATCATCCATTATTTGTATTCTGAACAGAATTTGTTTGTAGAGAAAATCTGTTTTTCAAGAGGCATACAATTGCTTTGCTATCACAGAATTTCTTCTGATAGACTGTTCTTCAAAAATAAAACAAACATGACTCAATGACACAAGGATATGAGACTTTCCTGAGAAAGACTTGCTCAACTATATACAATGAAAAAAGCAAAATACTTTTTCCTTTTTTTTTTTTTATATTAGCACCATTTAAGTGCAACATCTCATGAAATGTATGAGGAAGCAGACTGAAAAAAAAAGGTAGTAAGAGTTTAAAATGAAGGCAGCACACTAACATGGAACCAACAATTCGATTCAATTACAGCACTAAAACAAAATCAGCAGTCTGTATGCATTTTTTGCAGGAATCATTATGGATAAAGTTTTGAATTCAAATATAAATATTAGCAAGTCTCCCACGGATTTCAGGAGGACCAGGTTTAACTCCACTGCCCTTTTGGCCTTAAAGGTTTCAGCGTATCTTCACAACTCACTCTGTAATTCTGAAACTACTTCTTCCTGCCTCACAGTTTCTCTTCCTATTCTTTTCTCCCCACTGACAATGTTGTATCTTAGCAAAACATTTAGCAGACACAGGAACATTCCAGGGCGACTTCTGACAGCAGCAGTTTCTATCTCTCAACACCCACGCAAACAGGAGTCTTTTCCCGAGGCTGTGGAATGCCTCCTCTGGAGTGACTGCTGGCCTATGGACAATGACTACCAATGTCTGGGACATTTTGCCATGGCAGTAGGACTAGTCAGAGTCACTTTTACCCCCTTGCCAGACCACTTCCATGCCCTGAAGGATCATGGAGAAAGGAAGCTCTGTGGCTTTGTTGATGCTCTGTTTTTGCCAGCTCTGATGTGTTTGGAAATAAAGACACGGCATATGCAGCGCAGAGCAAGGAAAAGCGCGACACTGCTGCACGCTTCAGAGAGCTTTACAACTTCAGTGGATGGGACAATAAAATCCACTGCTGGGTCCATTAGAGACACAGACACCTGCTGCCATATGGGGCTAAGAGCCACCTTCACCCATGCACAGCGGGGGTTCAATCACTAAGGAGCACCAAATCCAGTCTACACCAAACAGCTTTGGTCCTGTCCGTAACAAAATTGTCCAGCAAGTAAAATCTTGATCACATCTGTGCAGCCCCAAAACAGCTAAGGAAATAATGAGACTATTTTGCTCTGCCACTTTGGACTCTGGAATGATGTGGTTTTTTTATGTGGGTCACAACCTTTGCTTGGATTACATTCCTCAGCATAAGATTTAATGTTATCTTTGGAGCCGTATCAATCCAATGAGTTGTCAGTGGTTTTATGGCAGTGGAAATTTTGTTTAAACCTTGCTATTTTTGTTATTATTTCACACGACTGATTAACCTAGGTGGGAGAAAGAGAAATGGTCCTCTCACAATTAGATGATCAGTGATGGTAAAAACTGTTTGCATGGTGTATCAATGGACACCTGTCCAAGCACTCTTTTGGAGCAAAAAATACTCCCATTGTTATTTCCTTAGATGACTTTTAAGGCAAAATATGCAATTATGATATTAAATTCAGTTAGAAGTATTTTAAAAAATATTTGTATCAGGCTTATTTCGTTCTACCCTTTGCATGACAAAAAAATAGCCAAACACATTCCTGCCACAATAAACACTCAATACACAGATTTAAGCCCTGGAACTAATTTCCATGAAAAAATGATAAATCTTTATGAACAGGTTTCCTAATTGAATTACTTAAGATCTTGTTAGCAGTTTGATCCAGCATAATTAGAATAAATAAGCACATATATGGTATTTGTCAGATATATTACATTCTCTAAAATACGAAGAAGCATGATTTCCAAAACAAATCCTCTGTAAATGATCAGTATACATCAAACACAGCTTAAGTACCTTGGTCAAGCTGTTCTTCCACTTGCTTGAATAGACCAACACATCAGATCTGGGGTGCGTAGTTCTTGCTAGAGTGTACAGTGGCTTTTCAACTTTTTGTTTGGAATTGAGGAGGGAGAGAGCTACCTTTGTCGACAAACCGAGTGGATTGGGGTTGTTAGGACTAACGGTCCATGTAGAATAGGCAGAGATTTTTTGATCATTTTGCAGCAGATGCAATGGTTTTCTCTTCATGAGGTAACACCAGGTAAAATTTGTTGTGGTCTTGAGGCTTGGAAATGACAACCTCTGCATTTCTCCTGCATTCATCACAGCCAGTGTCACTACAGGCTTTGCTTGGCCCGGGCTGCTGATGTGGGTGCTCTCATCACTGTTACTCGGGGACCTTCTTTCTTGACTGCTACTTACAGCCTTGAGAAGAGAACTCTGGCTATTCACTGGAGACAATTCAGAAGGTTTCCTAACTACAAACACCGGTGACGTGGAAGACTTAAGGTCTTCGGATTCTGGTGACTTCTTTAGGGTTTCTGAAACCCCAGTGTCAGATGACTGATGGTCAGGTAGGTCTGAAGTACTGGCCTTGCTGCTCTTTTCATGCTGTGTAACATCAGGATCCAAGAGGTGATTTTCTAGAGGCTCTGTGGTGCAAACCTGTCTTACCAAAACTGGTTTCTTTTGCTTACTAGTAGGGTCATTAGATCTAACGCTCAGTGATTGCAATGGTCTAGCATCTGTCATACAAGCAGCCCCACTCTCATCTTTAACACGCTTCTGCTGTTTTTCCATGGCAATATCTAAACTGTTTGCTGGGGAAAGCATTCGTTTACTTGAAGCTGTAACTTCTGGTTGAGGGAAGAGCCCGCTAACTGGCACTTTCTGAATGATATTTGAAGAGCTTGACAAAGGTGAATTTCTGGTTCCGCTTTCCAGTAGTGAATTTTCAAATTCAAATGAATTTGGCAAAATCCTCTGATGATCTTTGTGAGATTTTGGCAGCTGAGTTTTGCCTTCAAGCATTGGCACTGTCACAACATTTGTTTTGCAGACGGACTGATTTCCCTGATCCTGAGTCACTAAAATGTGAGGCAGGGGTGTAACAGTTGCAAAGCCATAGGATGGCATACTGCTCTGAATACGGACAGGAACCACAAAAGGAGCAATCTGATGTATCTGACTGCTGCAGTTATTAGGAACGATTTGCTTTAGAGGAGGCACAGAGTATGGATTAGACATGTCAGAGAGTTTTGTCTGCACTTCAAAGGAAGATGCATTCTGGTCCACCCCAACTTGACTCGGACCAGTCTGAGTTGATAAAGTATTTTTTAGCAATTTAGAAGAGTATGGCTGACCTATATGTAATGTTTTAACTTGAAGTTGATACTTTGGAGCAAAACAGTCCTTTTTTTCTTCAGGATGACAAGAAAGCGAGTTCATGCTTGCTTGCTCCCCTTGGGCTGATGTTTTAGTAGATGGCTGGGAAGGATGATGAGTCAAGGATGGCTGGCCTTGATTATTCACCATGTGATCTAGAGGCTGCTGAGCTGAAGATAGGCTAACAGGATTACAATTTTGAATCGCTGAATGAGGCCTGGAGTTAGTCTGTGAATGCTGAGTACTTGAAGGAAACTCCACTGAGGATTTGCCAGGGGTCTGCAGCCTATTCAATGGCACTGTGGACACATCTGAGGCATGAGCTGCCTGCAATGAAGTCGATTTCACTTGAGGCTGTTGATTTTCTGGAGCAATATTTAAAGATATCTGTCTTACAAATGGCCCCCTCCTCCTTTCTAGCAGAGGCACGTGTCCAGCAGCCCCATTTGCAGATGACACTTTCGGAGTGGCTACCTCTACAAGTGGGACAGGTTTCGATGGAGACATGCTTCCACAGTCGAAAGACTTACTCCTGTAGTCCACAACCTCCATCGAGGGCTGTGTGCAGCTGATTTGCTCTGAGGCTGCACGTCTCATTTCTCGGTAATGAGGTCCAGGCACTGCCAGTGCGTGTGAGCCAGCAGGAATCATGAGGAATTCTGAAGACTTACTAACAGGCTCTGCTTTGGAAAGGTTCTCAGTCTTTAAAGTTTCATCTTTATCAAGTGAAGTTGAGAAACTGGAGGCATGAGACAAGCTACTCTCCCGACTTAGGCTTCTGGAAAGTGTAGAGTCAACGCTTGATTCAGCAGATGAATGTTCCATTTCAGCCAACCGAATTCTCTTCTTCTTCGGTGGAAGCTTTTCTGTTGGCAATTTTGACAGTGTTTCACTGCGTTGTGGCCAGTTAAACCTTTCTGTCTTTTCCGGATCGCTGCATTGGTTTTCTTGCTCTCTGTCTGGTTCTTCTGTGACCAGTATTTCAGGAACCTGGATGTTATGCTGGCGAACGAGTCTTGATGGCTGAAGTGGTGCACTTCTCTCATTAGAAACTAATTGGCTTCCCTGAACTTCCCCTCTAGGTGGTTCTGATGACAAGGGTTGGTGACGCTGGGGAGTGCTCATATGAGAGTGTCTGTCTTCTTGGATTACAACTGTGTTCAAAGAGCGGTGCTTTGCAACCTTGTTGGTCTCTTGAGAAGAAACTGGCGATACTCTTTCAAAAGACTCTGATTTCTCAAATGAGCTATTTCTGCTCAGTGAATTTGTGTGCTGTATTACTGAAATGCCAGTCCCTTGTCTCTTCAACTCCACCTTTTCTTGCACAGCTGAACTTGCCTGCTTTTCAATGAGTGGAGCCATCTTTGGCTCAGTAGTCTGATCTGTGCTGCGAGCCACAAGCTGAATTTGTGAATTCTGAAGCAGAAGTTTGCTTGGTTGTTGTGATCCTACCACGGCTGTGGCACTGTGTTTTGACAGACTGGAAGAATTTGCTGGCTTGCTTTGGCCTTCTGTGTTCTTTGATGGTATGCTCGTATCATTTTGCTGTGGGTCATCATCATCACCAACACTTTTCATTTTCCTTCTTTTCCTTATCTGGGGCGTCTGCTCCCAGACACCAGTTGAAGTTGTAACTCTGTAGTGTAGAATTTGAGGCTGTGTACTGTTTGGAGCAGTTTTGTGCTCAGGCTCTCGGATTGCTGCTTTAGTTTTAGGTCCATGCAACTCTGAACAATAAAATTTCTTGTGGTTTTCAAAATTTTCCAGTTTTCTATATCTGTTCCTGCAGGTTTCACATTCAAACATTGTTCCTCGCACCTGAGGGGACTTCTTTGTTTTCTCTAAATTTGATCCCTGTGCCAGGGATTTGCTCCTTTGCAGTAAGGATTCATTTGATAAATTACACCCCAGATAACCTTCTTCTACAGATCGCACTGGCCCAAGACCTTGGCTTTCACCAGTAGAGGAGTCTTCTATTGCTGCCTGTCTAACCAGGGTCCGAGGATGTCCACCTTGGTTCAGCGGAGTAGCAGGTCCCGACACAAAAACATCATCGTATAAAGAGCCAATTTTATCATCAAATGACTGGCTTCCTCGAAGGGGATGAGAGGGAGGTATGACATTAGGAGGTACTGCTGAGTAACTGGTGGTAGGCATGGAATTACTTCGTGTTATAGGTAAACAGTCAAGGGATGGTACAGAAAGAAGGAAAACTTGCTTGGATTTCTCAGTGGGTGTGAAAGGAGACTTTGGTATATCAGAGCTTGAGCTAGTTCTTCTTCCCATGGGCTTTAAATCAAACTGGAAAGAATCCTTAAATATGTAGGATTTTGGTGAATCTATGCTTCCTCTTCTTGAAAGAGATGTTCTTCTTGGTTTCACACTATCTAACTGTTTGTCATCCACAACAGCTTCATTATCAGAAATTAACTTTGAGATACGCTCCTCAAGAGTTTTTGTTGCTAAGGGAGGTCGCATTTGGCCAGAGAGAATCAGATTTTTTTCGGCACAAACAGTTTGTACCACTGATGCTACCATGCCACTTGCTCGTGGCACACAGGGCAGATTTTTATTTGGATCTTTCTCAGAGGTCAATAATCCCCTTACAAAAGGAGCTGGAGGGCTCATTGTTTGATCGGCACTTTCAGAACGAGAGAAATAACCAGAATCAGTACTACCTAAACTTCTAGGGCTCAAAAGACATTTTCCTTGCTGATCTTGAGAACCATCAGTTGCCTGTTGTCTCTGGAGTTGAGCATGCACTGGTCCTCCTGTTGATCCTGGCTGTTCCTCTAACAGGCCTGCTTCTACTTTCTGATGCTGCTTTATGTCATTCTCCTTGAATGCGGCTGTATGTGTTAAATTTGACTGAAGAGTTGTGACTTTAGAATCACCTTTTCTCTGTGCTGCAGCAAGCTCAGGTGCTGGCTCTGTCACTTTTGGGCTATCAGCCCTCAATGGAGAAACATTTACAGGATGAACTACTACTTTTGGTAAAGCTGCCCTTACTTGAGGTTCTGCATCATGTAACGAAGAGTCACCTGGCATACAGTCTGGGTTGCCTAACGGAACAGGGCTTCCTTTCTGCAGTGTTTCTGCACTTGAAATGACTTTCATTAATTGTGCAGGTTCCAGTTCTTGATCATCTTGCCTTTCATCTGCAGTACCTTCATCTTCACTTTCACCGCTTTCCTCCACATCTGAATGAATGCTAAGTGCTTTGTCCGAGTCATGAGATAAGAAGAGGCCACCTGAATCTGGTTGTAGGACAAGTCCAAGTTTGATGGCGTGTGCATGTGATTTTTTGTGCTTGTAGAGATTGCTTTTGGTTTTAAATGAAAACCCACACGTCACACAAGGATATGGTCGCTCTCCAGTATGGGATCGGATGTGCTTTTGGAGAACACTGGGCTTGGCACAGGCCCGATTGCAATACTCACAGACATATTTCCCTAACTTTTTAGGCTTCTGGTCTTTCAAGAGGTTACATATTTGTTCTACACCATGGTTTACAACTGATGCTATCTGGGCTGAATTATACACCGGACCTATAGACAAGTGTGTTGAACTCGATGTGTTAATTGACAATGGTGAAGATGAACTAGCTACTAACGGGTTTTGAGAAAAAACCTGAGTTACAGTGGAAGATGAAGTGTGAACAACAGACGAAGTTACTGCTATGCTGTAGATCTGCTGGAGCTTGGGGTTTTCTTGATTTTGCTGTTGCACCAGCGACCTAGTTAAACTTGGACACATAACAACCTGGTGATTTTGCTGACTGGTTTTAGTAATAAGGTCTTGTGAATGAGAAACTGATTGGGCTTGTGCTTGTCCAGTCTTGGCTGTTGTTGCTACATGCACATTGTTCAACGGGTAATAGTGAGGTCCAGCTGCAAACTCCTGCTGTGACGAAGCAGACTGATTTTGGACACTTATTGTATTGGATGTGAGACTAGAAGAGGTGCTTACAGTTTTATTTGGTCTCAGTTTCTCTATTTGCATTCCATAAGGGGGGCACTCTTGTGCTAAGGTGTTCAGTTCAGGCTCCATAGCTTTTAGTAAGACATCGAATGCAGTACGCGTACATGGGGATGACGTACTGCAATCAACAAAATTAATACATTCATTACTGTCAGTCTTTGTATTACTTGATGAGGAGTTTGAGGGAGGCTTCTTCTCTGCTGAGTTCAGTTGGTTTGCATCAGTATCCCTTGCTACCTGTTTACACAAATCTAAGGACTGATGCGTCAGCGAAAGCTTTGTCTGCATTGATGTCTCAGATTTGGTTGTTTCAACACTTATCTCACTGCTAAGTGCTCCCCCATTTTGTTTGGTACATTGATTTCCATTTTGCATGGGCAAGTGATCCTGTGCCCTGGCATGTTCGGAGGCATCTGGAAGAGCTTTTAGCAGTGAAGAGTCTACATTTTGCTTAACCTTGGCTTCAGCAGGGCTTCTCAAAGGCGATTTTGGTATTTTTTTAAGATGGTTTTCAGACACAATCTTTTTCCTTTTCACACCTTTAATTGTATCTTGGGTTCCTCTAGTACCAGCATCGGTGATTTCTGTTAAAACATAAAGAGAATAAAAAAGAATATTCAAACTGGATAATGCAGTATATTTTTTATTTAGACCATTTTACCACCTCTAAGTTTCAACAGTAAACCCTGGGGCAAAAGGACTGTCTGTCACTTCAGCCTCCAATGCTTTCAGTTAACAGTAAATGTATCTTAGAGAAGATCTATTTTGTTTTCATCTAAGATGAGCAATGCTTTCTAACTGATGCTTGAAGACATTACGAAAGCAATTTACTATAGGAAAAGCTTCAAAGGAAATGTAAGAAAAGGAAGGCTTCTGAAAGAATATTTTAGCAACTCCTTTTCAGACAAGTTCAGAAGCCGCTCTCTTGCACTAGTTTAAGAATTCAAATTATTATAGAAGGAAAATGAAGAACCAAGACATATATGTCATGTTTGTCACTTTTTCCATCTATATGTTCCCATAGTCAAGGAATGAACACAACTTCCTCATGGTTATATTTGTAAGTAGATTTATCATGGAAATGGCACAGCCACCCACACCATCTGTCAAATACTGTATTTCAGAGCTCCAATTACTGAATTTCAATAGCATTTCAGATGAGCAACTACTGTGGATGAATAAAATCAGTCACACTTAAATGACTTCCTATTTGTGCATCATGAAACAAAATAAACTAAATCTGAATTATTTCATTACTAGCTACACTTGTTGCTGATTTTAAGCAGATATGCATGCAGAGATTCAGGGGGGTAGGGAATAGCAAATGAATTGGAGCATTATTCAGCAGAATAATAATTTTGTAGGAAGCACTTGTATTTGTAGACAGTCCAATTCCATCTATAACAAAAACCACAAATAGACTGAATTTCAGTGTTGATACACAGAAGTATTTTATTTTAGTGGATACCCAAGTTACACACCTTTGTCTACATCAAATGTATGATAATCTATCAGCTTTTTAATTTTTTTTCTTCTATCCTAACATAGACACAGTCATAGCCACTGCCTCCACTAGCATCACTGGTAGGACAGAGGAAGCTAAATATTAAATGGATGTAAATTCATTTTTTAAGGCTTTAACAACTCTTTCATCATGCTGTTAGCAAAACCCCTACTTGTCTGACTGTCAATATTATAAGCAAAGAAGGAATCCAGTGTGACTGGAGGGCTGATGGCTCTGGGAAGGTTCAGACACACGCATTTTAGGAAGCAGCACCAAGCACCAGGTTTTTCTGCATGAGTAACTCAGGAACAGAGGTTTATGTGCACTTCTAGGTAAAGAACAGCCTTACAACAATGTATTAAGGGATGAAATTCTCAGTCAACTTCACAAGAAGGCAAGTGCAGGAAGCTCAGACTTCCCAGTACCCATCAACCCTACAGCCCCTTGGACTGGCACAAGGACTGTCCTCTTGCAGAAACACCAGCTAGATTCCATACTGTGGTGGGAGGAAAGCCAATGCATTGTGTGCATCTGACAAGAGATACTGTAGTTGATGAATCCAGAGTGAAATTCCTGCTCTGTAGAGGAAATCCAGGCAATGCCTAAAGCTTGTCTAGCAGAAGAGAATGTCAAGTGACCAGTAGGGGAAAAAAAAGCAAAGACTTTATGTTTTCTCCATGCCAGAGCACAACCCAACTGGGATGTGTGGTAATGCCAGATACTTGGAATTTCGAAACCTAATTTCTGCCTTGATGCCAACTTAATGATACACACATATTCAGTTAGGCTGAATGGATATTCAGGTTACACTGCAAACTGAAAGATTAAAGACTACATATCACACAATGTGCTGGTTTTATCTGGGGTAGAGTTAACTTTCTTTACAGTGGCTAGAATGGGAATTATGTGCTGGCTGGGGTGAAACTACAGCACACATAATTCATTGCAAATGTGGAAGCTCCACAGAACCTGACCCATTCCTCTCCCAGCCCTACTAAAAAAGCTTACCTATGAAGAATCTGTTTTGCCACATTCAGCAGCCCTCTGAAAGAGATACTTAAATCCATTGCCAGAACTACTTGCTCCAAATCCCAGTTCTGGTAACTTTGTGCTCCTCTTGGGCATCCAGAAAGAAATTTCTGCTGCAATTGTTCACTTTACCTTTAAACGAACTTTGGATTTATTGCTGTATCATCAAAACCTATTCCTATTAGGCTGGATTTAATATATTCAAAGCCAAGCAGCCTCCCTTCACGTTTTGTACTTTCCATTGCTTCATAATTTAATAGTGACTTACACTTATAAGTTATCATTCATATTATTAAGGGTGAATTCTTTACAATTCATAATCTACTAGAACTGTTTTTTCTTCAATAGCAACAAAAACCAGTTTTACACAAATCAAAAAGAAAATAACAAGGTAATTACCTAAAAATGTGCTTTTAGCCATGGTTTGGTGATCCCTCTGAAACATGGCCACGTTAATTGCACATAAGTGATTTGGTTCCTTTTATGCACACACTGCAGCTTTTGTGCTGTCACAATCACGCCTCCACACCAATCATACTCTGGTGTTTTTACCAGAGCACTACAGGAAGAGCTGGGCACATTACACAGCCAGGAAAGTAAGAGTGCCATGAACTGCAAACATCCAAGCAAATGCACACAAAAAAGACTAAGTTGTTTCATACTGCAGCAATCGAACAATCAAATGATGTGGTGCTTCCCGATATACAGGAATATTCAAAGCTACTGTTTCTGGGTTTCAACCGTACAGTGCCAAAGAACAGGGATACTCAACCTGCACAATGTAATGGTGAACTGGAAACCAGCGAAGCTGAAAGGTATAATGTGGCTTACAAAAGCCTTAAAGGAAGTAAAAATGTGTCTCTAATCTATCAATCAATTAAAAAGATTCATTCACTTTGAATAACAAGATCAGAGTTTTCCATAGTCTTTTTACTGCTTTACTTTTTAAAATGCTGTTCAAAACATGCCAGAGTATAAAAATTGTTTGGGAAGTTGACAAGAAATGAAAAAGAATAAAAAAAGCAAGTTATGTGTTGCATTACACATAGAAAAAGTATTTTTTTTCAGTCTTCACTACAATTGTGCTGCTTCTATACCAATAACATTCAAGTCTACAGAAATAATGAGAACTAATTTCTTATTTGTATTTCTGCCTCTATATGTTTTGTGATCCCAGAGATAGAATCACAGAATTGCTTCAGTGTACCCATCTATAAAATCTTGTAAAATGTACTTACTTGACAATGACTTTACATGGCTTAAAAGCTGTTTGAGTCCCATATTCTACCCTACTCCTGGATAATTTAGAAATTTTTATTATTATTCTTAATGGAAATATTCACCTTATGTTTGCTAACAACCAAATTTCTGGCATATCTGTAGAAAAAAAGAACTACCAACAACTTTGTTTCACTTATTTTTAGCTGGTCATTCTTTTTGTGTAAGTCTTTGCTTCACATTCCCAGCTTATGTTGAAGATATTCCACTGCACGTTTCTTAATCTACAGCTACATGATTGCACAAAGGTCAACTGCACCAATATTTCCAGAGGCATCAACAAAACTGGCAGAGAGCATCAGTCCCCAAATGCTAAAGACTCCTCTGCCTTGCAGCTTTCAGGGGTGTGATAACTTGCCGGGGCCGTCTGTGTACCCACATCCACAAACTGACACTGAACAAAAAGAATGTAAAAACATCCTCATGTGGAAAAAAAGTATGAAGGTGATCTAATTTTCTTTCTCTCCCTGCCATGCCATGCACTCTGCTCACCCCCTGTGCAGTCACCCAGCCATTTGCATCATTCAGTGGTAATTCCCCTTTTCCTCTGGTGGTGAAGTGATATTTTTGAGAACTGCTGTCAGCTCAATCAGATGTCTAAAAAGAATCTTTCTCATAAAGCTGTACTACATCAAATAGGATTAAGTTACCCAGGCCAGGAGAAGAGGGGACAATGCCACTGTGCTCAGTACCCTGCTTTTCACATTCCAGGGACACCAGAGCATCTCTTTTATGCTTCGCCTGGTTGGCTTTGTTCTGCCTGCTCTCAAGATTTTCCACTTAATTCCTTTGTTTCAGCATGAATTCTGCACTCAAAACATGACAAGAAAAAGCTGACGTTTCTAAACATGATTTTGTTCACCTACAATTTCTCTGATGCACTTCAATCTATGTGCAGGATATAGAACAAAAGAACACAGGTGTGATGGTGTAGATAGCAATCTGCAAAGTAACTCACGCAGCAAATAAGGGAAGCTATAAGTGATCTGATTTTTCTTCCAAAGCATTTACTGGTGAACCAGTGTCTTGATAAAATGATCTCAATGGTTTTGTTTAAGTAACTTCCAGAACTGCCTGTCTCAAAGCCTACATGTTATTATAACACCTACTCTCTTTCTCTTCCTTCTAATAGAGCTAAAGGCTTGAACTTAAAGAAAAGAATAAGAGGGAACCAAGGAAGGGCACCACTCCCTTCTCCCTCAATGTCATCCTGTGAAGGAGCAACCAACCACTATCTATCCCTGGAGTCCAATGAGCACCATAATTTTCATCTCATGCTCTCGCTTCACGTTGCACAATTTAAAAAATCACTGTTGGCTCCCATACGAAGACCAGATCTTCAAATCCAAGTGCCTGATCTTTAGCTCCTAATCTGTACTTTGGCTCTCAAGGCACTGCAAGTAAGACCATGTCTCTTCTGAAAGTCTTCAACTACTAATTGATGTCTTAAATGAATGGCTAAGAGGTTACTCTGACACCCAACAATGCTAGTGATCCAAAGATGGAAGGGTTCCCAAAAGAGAGACCATTACTAAGGATCTTATTCTGATTTATGCTAAGCTTGCATACTCTTTAATTTTGATTTCACCAAAACTGTCAAAAGCACTCATGAATCACCTCACTGGGTCTGTTTCCATGAATAAGTAAAGAACGTGTTTATGAAATAAAGAAATAAGTCTTGCTGGCAAATATAAGGCCAGCATATTTCACATTAAATGCAGCAAGGAATAAATAAATGTTCATTTTTTAATAAATTACCTTTTCAACTTCATA